ATATTACGAGTAAAAATACTCAAACTATCTCATTTACCTACTCCAATTAAGGGCAAATACATCCATCAACACCTACTTTACTCTCATAAATTTTACACTCCTCTATTTTTCATGACAAAGAAGAACAACTTGAATGTTAGTGTGGACATTGCAGCAAGGCAGTTCGGAAAAGGAATGTAAGATGATTGCAATGAAAAATGCCTCTGTAACACCAATTTAAAAAATGCAAATGAAAAACAATCCACTGGTCTTTATTTCCAAGTTTGAAGACGTTTCTCTTCCCATCCAGGAAGCTTTTTTAATTCAAAATGTCAGAAATAGAGTTGAGTTCGATGTTTTATACAGAAGCCCAACAAAGCCTTGTTTTTTGTTTTGAAAACATGCAAATGCCAAACAAGGCTTGGAAAACATGGCTTGCAAATGCAGAACATGCAAAGAATGCAGGCTTTGTTGGGATACTGTATAAAACCTCAAACTCAACGCTATTTCTTCACCAGCATATCTGTAACACCAATCAGCCACTAAACGAATAAAATAATTGCGCCTTGTTGTTTGACCAATGTGTTGATTCCACTGTTGACAGTCTTATTAAAGCTTAGAACCTGGTGCAAGCTTGTTTGATTCTTGAAGCGATGTACGTCTCAAGACCGAAGTACGAGAAGCCATCATGCCCTAGCCAACCAGCAGTCCTGATTTTACTCACCTGGATCCCAAGCTGAGCAAATTTTTAAAAAGGAGCAAAGTACCAATACCGGATGGAAAACGTTGAGTTAAGTAGGTATAATCTTGCAAATGGTTAGAAGCTCAGCAACCAGAAAACTGAGGCGAGAACTGCATGTAAGGAGAAAAGTGGTGACCCTTCACAGGGGGGATTGCCCCCTGGAATTACTTCAACAACAGAAACTGCAGTTCCAGAATCCATTGAAATCTACTTTGAAATGGCGCAAAAAAAACTTCAAATGAATGTTTTGGAAGGAGCTCTTTAAAGTAATTACTTTTTAACAAAGTCCTGTATTTAGTCCAGTGATTTTTCTTCACTAATAAAGCTTCTAGTTAGAGTGGCTCAGGTTATCCTGAGCTATCTCTATAGATATGCTGCTATAGGTTTAGACTGCTGGAGGACATAGGGACCCCTTTTTCATCATTCTGCTTCCTTACATCTTTATTCTCCCATTCTGCAGTATTTGTTAGTTCAGCCTCTAACTATTCTTTCTCTGCCTTTCCCATCATAGTAGTTTCATCTGATACGTTACTGATTGGCTTTGACTCCATCCTGGAGAGAAATATCAGCTGCGATTAATGTCTCTGTTGACAGATAATAGAACTGGGCCTGTTTTTCTTTTTTGTCCTGCTTCTCTCCAAGTCATAACTATGGGCTCAGATTAGGCTGGCTAACTCTAGATCTCTTACACCCCCTTGACATTAAAACTTGCGCAAAGGTTATCAGTTATCACTTAAATTTTCTAACATAGAAAGTATGTATAGATCAGTGCTTCCACGTTCCTTTTGAATGTCTGCTTCAGTCTCCTTGAACCCTAGTTGCCCCCGGCAGATGGTCCCTCACACTGAGCCTGGTTCTGCAGGAGGTTTCTTCCTGTTAGAAGGGAGTTTTTTCTCTCCACTATTGCAACAAGCATGCTCGGTGTAAGGGATTGCTGTGGAAGCCATGCAATCACCTGGATTTCATTAGATGAAAAACTTAAAACCAATCCGACTGTACGATCTGGTTGAATTGTCTCTGTAAAGTGTCTTGAGATGACAGGCTGTGATTTGGCAATATAAAAATAAACAGAATAGATCAAATAAAATCATGATTTAAAAATATGCAACTAAGGCAATAAACTAAACAAAAAAAAAAATCTTACTTCTAATTTCTATAAATGACTATGCCTAAACTGTGTTTGCATAGCTGTATAAATGCATGAAGCATTTTTAAAGATTTCAATTTACGTTGTAAAATATGCACATGGATATTATATGAACTGATAACCAGAGGGATTGCTGCAAAGGAAGTCACATGATACTCTCGCCTGGATTCAAGTGAGAATAGCACTAATTCAATTACAGAATTAAAATGTACAGAAATAAGGAAACAGCTGAAATAAGTGCGTTATGGTGGAATATCAACGCAAACAAAGACTTAAGATTTTCAGTAACTGAAAAGCAGATAGCAGATGTTCAACAGGTGGAAATTCTA